TTTATTATTAATAATACTATATTATTCTTCTATTACTAACTAGCTATAACCAGTAAGCTACTAGTCACATGATCTGGCGAGGTCTGGTGTTACCGCCTGCCCGGCTATGAACTCGATAAACTTAAGGTGGTTAAAAATAAATAATTTACAATTTGGTAATTAACTTTTGGTAAACTAAGTAACTAAAATACACTTTTATAATACAGATGACTCAGCCGTGCCGCGGCATCGTCTTTTTGTCCTGATCGGAAAACCTTCAGCTTCTCTCAATTGTAACAATTTGGGTGATAGTAGCGGATTTTTCCATCATCTGAGGGACTGTGATCTGAGACAGAGAAGTCTGAGAAAGAGCGGTTGTCGTCGTCCGGATAGGACAGGTCGTCTTCGTCGAGATCGATGCCATTACAGGACGGGTCAGAAAAGCCAGGAAATTGGCCGAAATAGATTCCGTGAGCCTTTGGGTGAATCAATTCACAAGCCACACAACAATCAAATGGTAATAGGAAGGATGCTGGGTCGGCGTCGATATAGGATGGACGCTCGGCTGTCTCGTTTATCTTGCATTTCCCAGTCAGAACCAGTACCGTCCTTTCATATTTTGCAGAGTGTTTTCCCTCTGCAACTTCCAATGGAGATACACCCTCATCATCTCGCACATTGAGATCCACGTTGATATTGGCACTATGGCGAACCAGATAGCTGACGGTGTCAACATTTCCCCGGTGAGCGGCTAACCAGAGCGCGGTTCGTCCCTTGGGATCCTTCGCCTCGATGTCGACATCGGGGCGGCTGGTGAACTGCTCCATAATATCAACACGGCCTGTGACGGCCGTAATCAGGAACGGAGTCTGGCCAAGCTTGTTTCGTTCATCGGCCTTAATGTCATTTCGAGCCAGTAGGCTTCTAATAACATCAATGTTTCCTAGCACAACAGCGCGTGAGAGCGCAGTTTCGCCGAAGCGATTACTGGCATTGACATCAAGTTCCGCACGGCTCATCAATAGATCTACCATTCGCCGATCTCCAGCTATAGCTGCTCCCATCAGTGCATTGTCGCCGAAGCTGTCTGCACAGTTGACGTCAACTTTATCATGGGCAACCAGAAGCCTAAGCGCTTCGAATTCATCCGTCACTCTATCAACCGTTTCCATGGGGGGTCTCATTGCATAGCATATTGCAGTAGCACGGCTTGCGTCACGACTATTGACATCAATGTCGTCTCGTTCGAGAAGGAGTTTCATGACATTTGTGGCTGTACACGCAGCCGCGAAAGCTAAGGGCTCTGTAGCGCTCACGCCATATTTCTCATTGGCTAGGCCTTCAAAGCGATTGAGTAGCATCTTTGCGACCTTTGTGCAATCATGTTGCAAGGCAGCTTGGAAACACGAAGCAGCTACTCCCCTACGGGTCTGGGGCCGTAGCACATCAGAGTCAAAAATAAGACTGACTATATTCTCATGGTCCTTTATGGCAGCGGCCAGGAGCATGTCCGTCTCCAAACTCATGCCAAACATATCATCGACTGCACAACTTGTTATGGGAGCGGCTCTTGCTGGGTTTGAAAGCCATAAATCTAGATCATCATTATCATCAGCATCCACGTCATTAGCATCCGCCTTGTCAACATCCCCGTCATCCGCTCTATCGACGGCGTTAACGGTTTCCTCGTCATTCAAATTCAATCGTGCGATGTCACGCACTGTTCTAGCATTAGCAGGCAAACTACTATAGTCCCAGAGATATCTTACGATCCCTTCACGGCCAGCGCCCGCGGCAGCTGCAATGGCCTCATCGACATCTTCAGCAATGGGCCGAGGATCTAGGCCGTGAAGTAGGACATCTACAGCAGTTCTATGTCCCTTTTCTGCCGCAAGAGTCAACGGTAGCCCTCTCTGCCTTTCTTGATAAAGTGTTCCATCGATATTCTCAAGCAATAGTTTGATCATTGACACATCTCCCGCTATGGCGGCAATGTGTAACGCATTTAGCCCCGCGCCATCTGTGACGAATCTTCTTCTAGGTTGTTTAAGGAGAATTTTCATACACTCAAGGCTCCCTTTCTGCGCGGCCACCAGGATTGGGTTGCCAAAGAATTCATGAGCAGTATTGACACAGAATGGCCCCCTAGTCAATACCCGAGTCAATAGGGCAGCGTCATCTTCAAATATGGCTACTATCCCCGCAGCGCTGCAGATATCCATGGTTACTCTTTCGGGGGTCTTACTGTCCGCTTCACTATACTCCTCAAAAAAGTCTTCAAAGAATGGATCTTGGTTTCCACTGTAGAGCTTCATTGCAGCCAGTGCGCACAGGGTATATTGATACTTGCTTTTCAAGGCCGAGCGCTCATGGTCGCTCAGCCGTTGAGTTTCGCACAGGAGATACTCAGTTATTTGGTTAATGGAGCCTACAAGTTCCGGACAACGGACATTCTCTTGGCTTTCCCATTCCAAACGAGTCATACTCATTTCCTTACCTATCAGTTCAAGGAAAAACTGCGTCGCTGGTCGAGGGAGCATTGACTCTAGCCATTCCTCCTTTTCATAATCGTCAACTCTGGGATGCCTGACCTGTTTGGCTACCCAGTATACCATAAGCCTTTCGAATTGTTCTTCAAGTAGATAACGAGGGTGGTTTATTAGCTTAGAATGATCCCAACAACATGTACTACTGTTTGACAAGGGAAGAGAATCTAGGAGAAAATGGATGGGGAAAGGGATACGTACTGCTAACAGGCAGGAGGTTCCTTTGAAAGCTACAATGTGGACTCCCCATATAAGACTCAAGGTGAGCATGATTCTCTACCTCTTCCCTCCAGGCGTCCCACGCATATTCAAGGATAAAAAGGATGATTTCTTCTGGCAAGTCTTTGAATCTGGCCATGATGGGCTAGCCTCCTTTGTTATCCTACCTGCGATCGACCGTCCAAGCTGGGGATAAGCAAAGTATGTGCTCCGTAGCTCACAAGGTATTCGATTTCACTGGGAGGTGCATAAATAGTAACGTCGCTAAAAGCGGATGGAAGATGGATGCTCATATTTGCTTCTTCCTGCTCATCTTGCATGAGGGAGTACCAGCACACCCTTTTTATGACGCCTCAGGCGAAAAGAGATACGAATTATTGAATTGAGATAACGTCACCGACTTTAGAGTTGCTTAGTCATCGGATAAAGTGTAAAGCCGCAAAGCTTAGTCATAACCTTGAAATAACGCCCGGCTTTTTGTTTTTACATCATCAACTCCAACGCGAAGAGAAACAAGAGCGAAACGGACGGAAAGGAAAAAAGGAACATTATTGATATCTAACATGGATACGCATAGGTATGCAGGCGGAGGGCGGGATGATCGAGAGATACGGAGTCACTGATATTCAGGAACCGACTGACGCAAACTCCGTGCCATCTACTTACGTTCACAAGGGCAAGGAAGAAGCAGAAGGGAGAAGGAAAGGGAAAAAAGAAACTAAAAATTACGGCACTTGCAGTAGTAAATTACGACGATGGAGGTGATGTGGTGCTAAAAATTACCGGAGCCATCGCAGCGAAGAAGGTCGACTCAGCGGCGGCGATGACGAGTCAATTCGGCGCCAGCACATCTCCATCCCGTGTGCCTAACTTAGGGTCCGCCAGTGGCGAAGACGAAACAATCCCTAGCATGGTCGAAAGGGAAAGAAATTCTTTCAGTCAAAATCGATTGCATTCCCTGTCGCGGTGTTGTCGTACGGAGCTCCTCGACTTCGCTTCCTTCTCTCGAGACGGAGTGCTCGGTCTAGGTGCATTATTGTAGTGCACATGTGTGGCAGAACGGAGTCACTACTGCTTGAAGCGATTGAAAGGAGCGAAAAACAAATATAAGAATATTGGGGGAGGATTTACTCCGTACTCTGTATGTTGTTTTGTTGATGTTGATATGAGCCTTTCTGGCTGGGCCTTTTGCTCCACCACACGGGAAGGGAGAAGAAGCTGGTACATAACACTGGTGCTTGAGCCTGTCAATAATTTAAGCAACCTGCTCGACTTACCTTGCCACGAAGAGGAGAGGAAAGAGCACACAGATGAAAGAAAAGAAAAGAAAACGGATTGGAAAGGGAGAAAGTATTATTCTCTTTACGGAGTACGGAGTACTTCTGCACAATAATGCCACTGCGTCGAGGTTCTTATCTGAGAAAGGAAAAGCAATATTCGGACGCGAGATGCAAAGCAACCAAACAGGCGGCAAGCTGGAAGCTCGATATGCAAATCACCCCCCTGGGATCAAAGCTGTTCAACACAAAAATACTATGCACTCTGGATGGCCGAGCTAAAAGTATGAACGATTGATTGTGACCATATGTAAAGATGATCCCACCTGCTGTCTCTTTCGACTACTCATCAGATACGAGGTTGATTCTTCTGCCTGACAGTTCTATGATACGACCTGCGTTGAAAAAAAAAGGGGGGGAAACCGTTGAAAGAAGGAGCAAAAAAAAAAAAAAAGTTGAGGTCGAGATGAGGCATAGGGCACAGATTGGACCAGTTTAGCATCCATTTAAGCATCCGTCGACTCCGTCGGGGGCTGTGTGATCGAACTCCGAACCTACTCCCTACGTACAGAGTTACTTATGTTTTGATACATAAAAGCTACTCGCATACGGAGTATACTGGGGGACTTTAAGGGGGACCTAAGTATGTTTGGGTACTTAATATATCTGCTGAAACGTAGACATGGCCACGATGGATGATAAGGCTGGCCTAAGAAGAACATCAAGTCGACAGCCATGGTTCTCCCTTTCCGGCCTTGTTGAGAGTCCTCCTCTTGTCTGCATCCCCTTTTTCCCTTGATATCTTAGTAAACTATCTTGCTGACTGACACACGGCACAGGATCGGGGAAGTTGGTGGCCGGCAGCAGCAAGCAGAGGCACACCCGAGTGAGAGAGAATGCGACAACGTGGGCGGTAGCTCTGCATCCTGCATCCTATCAATTTCTCCAGAGCTGTCATCCCCATTCCGGCACTTATCCATCCAGATACCAATCGTCACCAAGCAGACTAGTTAGCTCCCTTCACCCTGAAAATCTTTTGCGCCAGAAGGGGGAAAGCAGGTGGAAAAAGCAACACCAGCGCCTTGTCTATCGATGCTTTCTTTTTCCCACGGGTCTTGCCAACTAAAACACCACTTGGCAAGATTCCCTGCTTATCTGTTTAGCACTACGATCTGAGCAGAGGTAGCCATAGCCCGCTCGATCGCGTAATTACCGGAACATTACCACTGTATCCCGGTGCTCCACGCGTCAACATGCCCCCGCCGCTGCCCTGTAATGTGGCTGTCCTGTAACCGTAATACCAACTATCGCGACCTTGTTCGAGGTTCCCGCCAAAACCTCAACCTGCGCCCGCTCCGACCACCGCAGGTTTTCGTCGTCCAGCGCTCGCTGCGGTTTCTCCTCCTCGTCGAAAACAGAAAACCTCGACCGCTTGCCTGCATCTCCCTCCCTCTCCCTGACTCTCTCTATCTCTCTCTCAGTCGGTGTTCGTTCTGCTCTCTCTCTCTCTCGATTCGACAGGCATTGGTCTTCCCTTCGTTTGGCTCTCGTTTTTCGTTTCTTTTCTTTTTTTTTTTTATTCTCGCTGCCTGTCTCTGTCTGCGTCCGCGTTCTGCCCTCGTCCCCTTTGACCTGACGACCGACGGCTACCCGAACTCTCTCGATCAAAGAAAATCCATCAGGCTGACGGATCGAGCGGACCAATCTCGTCTCGCAGAGTCCTCGACGGCCCTAGTGCCTGTTCAGCGTCCAGCCATCGGTCGGGTTGATAGTCCTGCGCGCGCGGGAAGTCGAGAGAAGCGATGAGATAAGAGGGCCCGATATCCCCATATACTATACAACGACAGCCAGCACTCCACGAGCAGCTGTAGAAAGAAAAAAAAAAAAAAAACCAAAGCAATAAATAAAATCAGCGGTAGAAGAAGAATAAAAACAAGATCGATTCCTTGCCGACAGGCTTTCGAACAAAGGGGCACGCCGTTCCACTTTGCTTCTTCTTCTTCCGATAGAGTACATATCCATACCGCGACCCCATCGTGCTGCTTCCGTCCGGCCAGAGCAGCGTCAAACATATATCATCGAGCACTAAGCAGGCGAGCCAGCAGCAAGGAAGCAAAGCAGGCACACCAGCTCGCTCGCTAGCAGCCAGCAGTGTGTAACGTGCTGTGCGTTCCGGCGGTACAAACAACTGGGCTGCTTCTTTCCCGCCCGACGTCTGCTCGGCTGCATACCTCCTACGCTCTGCCTTCCCAATGGCCCCGTCGCCGCCGAGACTTCGCATTCTATCAGGTACAACACCTCACTCTCCTTGTTCTTTTTTGTCCCTCTTGTTCCTCTTGCTTCTGTTGCTTCTGTTGCTTCTGTTGCTTCTTTCTTTTTTGCCCTCTCTCAGTTCTGCCGCGTCTCCCCAACCAGCCAACCTTGCCCTCCTCCCAGTCCTCAAGTCTTCAGTATATTATCTGTCGACACACTTGAGAAGCCTTCACTCGATCCTTCACCTTCTGAGCGGCCATCCTCCTCTCCGTGAAAAGAGAAAAAAAGAGAAAGGAAAGAGAAATATCACAAAATCGAGAGGAGGAAGAAGCAAAAATAAAATAAAAGGCAGCAAGGAAACTGGGAATAGCTCGATCTTGGAACCAGTCCTGGAATCACACTCGCCCTGCTTTCCTAGTTACATTTCATGACTGTGTTTCTGTGATGGGCCGGCTGACATCCTATTTTATAGTTGGTGGTAATGCGGTGTCAGCTTTTCTTTCCTGGAGACTCCAGGCCACGCATTCTTGTGATGTGACGCTGGTGTGGAAGTCCAGCTTCGAGTCCGTCCAGCAGTACGGCATATCCTTTAAGTATGGCTACTCTCTCTCTACCCTTATATCTCGCCTTGGGGGTACCCTGTTTGGCTCACACTTATTGTCAAAATTAGGTCGAAGGTGTTCGGCAACGAACGCTTCAAACCTCGACACGGTAAATAAATACTATCCGTTCTTTTGTTTTTTTTTTTTTTTACGCCGAGAAAGATAGAACCTGCTAACAACAAATATAGTTGTCCGTACGCCAGAAGAAGGTGCTTCCATATCGTCGTCATACGATTATGTGATTCTCTGCGTGAAAGCTCTGCCAGATATCTACGATCTCGCCGGCGTGATCGAATCAGTCGTTACCCCCCAACATACATGCATCCTGGTCAATACTACGAGCACAATAGGTATCGAGGCCCATTTGGAGCAGAGGTTCCCAAAGAATGTTGTCCTTTCTCTGGTATCTGCAGTAGATATTGTCCAGACCGGTGCCAGCGAGTTCGAACACACCTCTTCAACCGACTTGTGGGTTGGCCCAGCTTCGAAGAACGCCATGATCCCAACAGCTATCCAGAACGACATGGCTGCTGCTCTGGCAATAACTCTCGGCACCGCTCAAGTGAACTGCAAAGTATCAGAAAATATACTCCAGCAACAGTACGATCGTATGATAGGGTATGTGTGATATCTTTTTGTCCTCTCGCCTTTTTTTTTTTTTTTTTTTTGCCATGCTAATCCTGTCTAGTCCCATTGCTTTCTACCCTATCAGTGTCCTCTTCGAGACCCCAAACCACAGTCAGCTCCTAGAAAAGGTTGGGGTGCGTCAAATGGTTTCAGACGTCCTTGATGAGTTGATCGCACTTGCAAAGTCCCAGGGATGCACGTTTGCCGATGACTTCAAAGAAAAGACAATCCAGGCAATGACGGCCCCGACTGAGAATCCGAGCATCATGTATCAGGACTTCCAGTCCAGGCGGCCCATGGAAATCGAAACCTACCTTGGAGCTCCCGTCAAGATGGCCACTGAGAACGGCGTAAAGATTCCTCGAATAGAAACACTGTACGCCATGCTACATCATATTAATATTACCAATCAAAACCGTCAGCCCCCAACGGAACCA